CAGAACAGCCACCGACCAGCCACAGAACAGCCACCGACCAGCCATCGAGCAGCCACCGACCAGCCACCGACCAGCCACCGACCAGCCACCGACCAGCCACCGACCAGCCACCGACCAGCCACCGACCAGCCACCGAGCAGGAAGAAGGACACAACAGCAGCACACGCATGGACGCACCCTGGAACAGCTCGATGAGGTCCTCGCGCACGACGACCGTGTCGCGGTCGCGCAGCCGGCGGAGGTCGCGCGCCTGGCACCGGGCCCGGTACCCGCGCCAGGTGGCCTGGATCAGGCAGGCAGCCTGGTGGGCCCGGGCCCGGTTGGCCAGCTGCTGGTCTTGAAGCCGGCGAGCGTGGGCCCGCCGGGCCACCTGCTGGCTGGCCAGCCGGGCCCGGGTGGCTGCCTGCAGCTGGCACAGGGCGTGGACTTGGGCCCGGGTCCGGGCCAGGGCCCGGGCCGCGCGCACATGGCGGAAGTGACTTTGCAGGTGGGTGATCGCCGCCAGGCGCTGGGCTTCCAGGTCGCCGGCGGCGGCCCGGACCCGGCGTTGGGCCGTCAGGCGCCGCGCCGCCGCCTGCAGCCGACCGGCCGCCTCGAAGCGCAGGGCCACCCGGCGGAAGGCCAGCTGCTGGCGCAGGGCCGCGGCCAGGATGTGCGCGGCATCACGCTCGGCCGCCAGGCGCACCCGGGCCCGGTGCGCCAGCAGCCCGGCCACCAGGGTGGACCCGGCCCAGGCCCGGTCCCGGACGACGGCCAGCTGGTGCGCCTCCCGGCGGGCCAGCCAGTGGCGAACCCCATGCTGCAGGTAGACCACGGCCGAGCGCGAGCACAGCAGCGCCGACTCGCAGAAGGCCCCGCGCACGGCATTCTGCAGGGTGAAGACCGCCTGCCGGCGCTCGGCCAGCGAGGCATCGGCCAGGCGCCGGCGCACGGCCGCCTGCAGGCGGGCCACCGCCCGCACCGGCCGCAGGGCCGCCCGCACCCGGTGCCCCCGCCAGGCGGCCTGGATGCGCGTGGCCGCCTGCCGGGCGGCCAGATTCCGCAGGGCCGCCTGCCGGGCCAGATGCTCGCGGGCGGCCGTTTGCAGGATGAGCGCCGCCTGCCCGGCCAGGCGCAGCCGGCGCCGGGCCAGATGCTGCCGCCCGGCCACGGCCAGGCTTCGGATGGCGCCGACCCGGCGCCGAACCAGATGCCCCCGAAGGTGCGCCGAAAAGCCGGTCATCAGCCGCCGCAGCCGGCCGAGGTGCGTGTCCGAGGGGGCGGGGCCGCCGGCGGTGCGAGCCCCCGCCGGGGGGGGCTTGCCACCGGCCCCGGCTGGCCAGGGAGCCGCATGCTCGCTGCCATGGCCGGCCTCGGCCCCGGCCCCGGCCGCCGGCCAGTGGGCGCCATTGGCCACGGTGCCGGCCACCCGCCGGGCCTGGCGCTCACGCCAGCGCCGCTGAATGATGGCCGCGGCCTGGTGCCCGGGGCCGCCGCGCGCCAGGGCAAAGTGCGCCACGTGCGCCAGCCACAGGAGAACCGCCTGCTCGGCGGGCTCCGTGCCGGAGAGGTCCTGCGGGCGCACTGCGCGCAGGGAGACAGGCAGGGGCAGCGGGCCAGGCGGCCGGCCGAGAGAGAGAGAGAGAGAGAGAGAGGTTAGCAAGGGGGAAGGGGCCCGGCTCACCGGGGACCGGGGGGGCGGGGGCGGGGGCGGGGGCAGACAGAGCAGGGCGCGGGGGCGGAGCCGCCAAACGGCCTCCCCCCCCCCCCCCCCCCCTGCCGCGGGCAACGTACCCAGCACCGGGATGCCCAGCTGCTGGCAGGCGTGCGCCGCCAGGGCCAGGTTGAAGCGCTCATTCAGCAGGCGCTCCGGCCCGGAGTCCAGGGCGTCCGGGGCCTGGGCGCGGAAGTGCACGGAAAACAGCGGCGGGAGCTGGTCGGCCCGGTGGCGCCGGGCCGCGGCCGCCTCCGGCCCGGTCAGCCCGGCCAGGGTCGGATCCAGCCGGCGCTCGGCCGCCGACAGGGCCCGGTCGCCGGTGCGGGTGGTGTGCTGCCGGACCAGCTCCCAGGCCAGCTGCCCGGGGAAGTAGAAGGCCAGCAGGGCGCACAGGGCCCGGCCATCGGCGAAGGACCCGGCCGCGTCGCGGACCACCAGCCCCGGGCCCCCCTGCGCGGCGCACACCGCCCGGGCCCAGTCCACCAGGTGGCTCAGCAGCGGGCTGTTCATGTAGAGAACCGCCGCGGCGGAGGCCGAGTCGTCGCCGAGCCCGGGGCCCGGCGGCGAGCCCGGCCCCGGCCCCGGCCCCGGGTCCGACAGCCGCGGCCGGGGGAGGCTGGAAGCCGGCGGCTCGGCCTCCGGCCCGGGGCGCTTGGCCCCCAGGCGCTTGGGGTCCTGGCCCGGGGAGCCGGCCCCGGGCGAGGGGGACCCGCCGGCCGACCGGGGGCCCTGGCGCCGGACCGCGGCCGCCTCGGCGGCCAGGCGCTCGGTCGACAGCAGCCGCGGCAGGGCGCCCCGCGCGAAGACCGACCACAGCACCCCGGCCGCGGTCCGGTCATCGCCGGAGGCCAGGCTGCGCCCGGTGGATGACAGCAGCCGCAGCCCGAGGGCCGCCTGGAGCTGCTGCAGGACGAAGTTCAAGTTGGCGAAGCGCTCGGCCGGGATCCGGGCCGGGAGTTGCAGGGACTGAGAAGGCAGGGGGGGGGGGGGGGGCGGGCAGGGTGAGTCCTGGGCCGGGGGTGGTGTCGAAGATGGAGACCCGCGGGCCGGGGCGAGTGGCGATGCCACAGGGGGGGAAATAGCTGGGCCAGGAGGGGGGGGGGACACGCACATGGAGCAGGAGGTGCGCTCGTGTCGGGCGCAGAACCTCCAGCAGCCGGGCCAGCACCGCGCCGTCGGCCAGGTCCCGGCCGAGGTCCGACACGTGCCACCGGCGCTCGTCGACCGGGCGCTGCTCGAACCAGCTGGGCGCGGCCCCGGCGTCGGTTTCCCCCAGCGAGAGGGTCGACAGGGACCGGGAGAAGTGGCCGTCCGGGCCGCCGGGGGAAGTGTCGCCGGCGGCCGGCGCGAGGACCGCGTCGGCCAGGCGTTCGGCCAGCTCCCCCTGGCAGGCAGACCGCCCGAAGAGGGTGAGCAATGCCCAGGTGGACTTCGCGGGGGCATCCTGTGTGTGTGTGTGTGTACATGCCACAAAGGCGGGGGGGGGAGGGGGTTGTGGAGAAAGGAAGAGCGACGCAAAGAGGGACGCCGACAGGGACACAGCGAGGGAAGACGTGTAAGAGGGGGCCGGGACGATCGAGCAAGGCCGGGGTCCCGGAGGTGGCGCACCCGCGGGAAGAGAAGGAAGTCGCGCTGCTGGCCGACGGGGGTATCGGCGGCGGCCGGAGCGTCAACCCCGGCCTCGGATCCGGGGCTGATGAAGATCCGGCACTGCTTGGCCGCATCCAGGAAGAGGGCTATCTCCAGGAAGAGCCGGATGAAGTGCAGCCCACACATGATGGGGTACTCGCGACCGCCGCGGGCTCCCCGTGCGGCCGCGGGCCCGGCAAACTGCGATTCCAGGAAGGGGCTGGTCAGGACGTTCTGCGCGCCGGGTGGCCCGGCCGGCCGGGGCGCGCAAGACCAGCGCGAAGGGCACCACAGTCAGATCAAGTGGCCCGGGCGGCGGGGCGGGGCGGGGCAATGGACGCATGGAAAGGACGCGCCCGGCGCTTGCCAGGAGGGGCACGGAAGGGGGGGGGACATACCTGGAGGAGGACAGGCATCAGGTCGTCCGGCGAGGCGGCATCCAGCCGGTGCCACGGCTCGGCGGCCAGGCGGCCGTCGGCCGGGGTGTCGGCCGCCCGGTGGAGGATGCTCGGCCCGGCTTGCCACCGGTGCCGATTCAACACCAATGCCTCCAGGGCCAGCACCAGCCAGGGGAAGGTGAATTGCCGGAGCAGGAGCCCCAGGAGGTGGTCCTGGGCCGGGGCGACGCCCGGGTCGCCGGCCGGCCGCCAGGCCGCCAGAAGCCCCTCCGCCAGTCGCACTCGGCCGGATTGCGTGGCATCCGTCACTCGGCCAAGGGCCCGGCGGAGGTGGGCACTGGTCCGGCGAGCCAGCCCGGACATCGCCGACCCGCCGGCTGGGGGGTGGCCGCGCAGGAGGCCGAGGGCCTGCTCGTGCGCGTGTGCCGGGGTGCGCCAGCCCCGGGGCCCGACCGCGCTGGACCCCTGCGACCGGGCCGAGTGGTACTGCCCGCCGGAGGACGAAGCGCCGGATGCCCGGAGGGAGGGGGCTTTGCCGGCCGGGGGGAGGCCGGGCGCCATGCAGTCGTCCCACTCGCTGGAGATCTTTCACGGGGTGGGGAGGGGGAGCGCAGTCAGCGCAAGGGGGAGGGGGGGGGGCGAGGAGGGAGGGGAGGGTGACAGGGAGCAGGGGAGGGAGGCGGTTGCGGCGTACGCGGAAGTTGACCCATGCCGCGAGGGCCAGGAGGGATTTCTCCAGCTGCGAGGTGGCGGCCACCTCGGTGACGATGTCCAGGTCGGCCGGGTGCAGGGCCGGGCCGCCCGGGTCGCGCTGCTGCGGCTGCGGCTGCGGCTGCTGCTGCTGCTGCTGCTGCTGCTGCTGCTGCTGCTGCTGCTGGCGTTGCTGGTGTTGGAGCTGGTATTGGCGTTTCACTGGGGGAGGGGGGGGGGCGGGCGTGGGTGGAGGGTCACAGAGTCAGGGGCGAGGGGAAGTCGAGGGGGAGGGAGGGGGGGAGCGCGACGAGGGGATGCGTACTCTCGGCGACCGAGGGCCGGGGCGAGGGCGCGCCGGCAGCGGCGGAGGGGGCGATCGGTGGCCGGCTGGCCGGCGGCACTGGCCGTGCGAAGGGCAGCCCGGATCCGGCCGGCACGCTCCAGGCCGACGGTGTGCCAGGGGGCACGGCGCCCGGCCGACCGGCCGCAAGCTGAGGCGCAAAGCGGCCCCGGGGATCGGGGCCTCGGTCGGTCATGCTTTCGCAGGGAGGCGGCCGCGTGTGTGCGTGTATGTGGGCGCGTGCGGAGGGCCGGATGGGCGGGCGGGCGGGCGGGCGGGCGGGCGGGCGGGCAGGTGGCCGACGACGGCCGGCAAGGAGGACAAAGGAAGGGACAGCAAGGAGCAGGCACCGGGGGGCGAGGGCAGGGGAGAGTGGAGGGGGGGGGGGAGGGAGCGAGATGCGGGCGCCCCGCAGGGGGGCCTCGGGAGCAGCGGGCGGCCTCTTGTCCTTGATGCGCCCGATGCCCGGCTCTGGCGATCTGGTCGCGCCGTGTGGCCCGCCCGCGCTCGGCCAGCGGCCGCGCCTTCTCGCCGCCACCGGGCGGGGGGGGGGGGGGGGGGGGGGCAGGCACCGCGGCGGGCCAGATCTTGCCCGAACGAAACCGCCGTGCACGGTTGGCAGTTTGATTCCCGGCCGCCCTTGTAACCGTGTGGGGCCCGGGTTGCGGGCTTTCCCTTGCTCCGGCCTCTCGGCCAGGGGACCGATCGCGCGCTGCCAGCGCATGGCCCGTGATCCGTGTCGGTGTGGCGCGTGATACGCGCTCACGGGTGGCGTCTGCTGTGCCGTGGCTTCTCCATTTGGCGGCGGGGGGGGGTGGAAAGGAAGAGGACGCGCGCATATAACTGGTGGATTTTAAATGAGGCTGATCCTTTGTTTTTTTCCCCTCCCCCCCCCCTGTCGTGGGGCACGCGCGGCCTAGACGCTGCGTGGGCTGGCCGGTTGCCTCATATTGCCCCTGTCACTGAGGGGCGGAGGGTCTCTCTCTCTCTCTCTCTCTCTCTCTCCCTCTCTCTGCCGCTCTTTCGCTGTGTTGAGGGCGCCTCGCGCCCGGACGCACCCCGGCGCGGCGCGCGCGCGCCAGTGTGGGAACCGAGCCGGGGCCTGTCGGAGGTCCGTCGGCACACTGGCCCCCAGCCTGGGGGCCGTGAAACACACAGGGGCTCAGCAGCACGGCCATGCTCCGGGCCCAATGCAAAGGCGCCCAGGGTTGCGGCGAATCGGCGGCCGGATGCTAAACGCCGCGGGGGCCGCCCGGCGCCGGAGTACCAAGCATCTGGGCCCGGCGCCTGGTCGTGCTGGATGGTGGGGGGCCGGCAGGGCGGCCTTTCTCCGGGCGGAGAACCGCCGGGTTTCGGAAATGTGTGCGGGACCACCCCGCAGCCGGCTCGGGGGGGGGGGGGGGTGCGACGCGGAGGGCGCGAGGACTAGCCCGGTGCGTGCGCGCGCGCGCGCATGCCCCGGCGTAGCCGCGACCAAGAGGCCCGGGAAGAAGGGGCATCCGTCCGCATTGGTCTCCCCCCGGGGGGGGGCGGGCGGGCCGCGCGAGCAAGGCCCATATTGTCGTGCGGTCTAGCATCTGCCCCGGGGCAGGGTGGACGACGGGGGGCGGGGGCGCATTGGCTTGGAGGCGGTCTGGCTGCGCGGGCTGGAGCCCCTCTCTGCGGGCCGCGGCCGCGGCCGCGCGAAGGCCCGCAGGGGCGAGGGTGCGGCAGGGCGTCGGGGCGAACAGCGCGGGCGCGTGTCGGGAAATGCCGACTGCCATTCCGGCCGGCGGGCTGGTGTGTCTGCGGGGCTGCGCCGGCGGTCCGGGCTGCGGCCGGCTGCCGGCACATGCTTCGATGCTTGGGGGCCGTGTGCCCGGCCGCGGGAGGGCCCCGCCCACGGGGGGAGGTGCTGCGCCGTCCGGGCGCCGGCACGGCGACGCGCCGACTGACGTGCGCGTGTGTGTGTGTGTGTGTTTGTGGCTTTTCCGGGGGAGCGGCCCCCCCCCCCCCGCCCCCCCCCCCCCCCCCCCCCCCCCCGCCGGGCGACTGCCAGGACGGAAGAAGGCCCTCGCCGGCGGGGCCCGCCTCCGGGTCGGCGAGGACGCATTCCTCTGCCCCCGGCTGGCGGTCGGGAACCGAAGGGACGAGGGGGAGGCGGGGGGCCTTCTCTCCGGGGCTCCCCCGAGGGCGACTCTGTGCCGACGCACGAAGGTGTGTGTGTGTGTGTGTGCGCGCCGGGTTGCGTCGCCTGTCTGGGCGTTATTTTCCCGGGGGGGATTTTGAATTTTAAAAACTCGAGGCCGACACGCGCCGCCGGGCCGCACGGCCAGGGGACCCGGCGGCTGGCGCCCACAGGGGGAGGGGCGCGGCCCAGGAGGGGGCGCATCATGCCGGTGGTGGTGGTCCCAGCCTGGGGGGGGCGGGCTTTCTGTGGAGGCCGCTCCGCACGGCGGCGGGGGCGGCCGCCCCGCGCGTGCACGACACAAGGGCCCCAAGCCTGCGCCCCGGTGGGTGGCCCCTCTCCCGAGGCCGGGCCTGCGCGCGGTCCGGGGCCCCGGGGGCAGGAGAGCAGGGAAGGGCCCGAGCGGCAGATGCCTGGCATGCGTTTGCAACGAGGGAGGGGGAGGGTGTGTGTGTGTGTGTGTGTGTGTGTGTGTGTGTGTGTGTGCGCCAGCCGCCCGGGCAACTCCCAGCGGATATCCTGCCCCACATCCCGGCGCATGTGTGGGCGCTCGCGACCGCTTGCGCGGCTCGCCCCCGTCCCCGGGGTGTTCCGCTGCCCCCCCCCCCCCCTGGCCCCGGCGGGCGGGCCTATTCTCCCCGTCTTGTGGGGGCTTTAGAAACAGGTGTATCTTTTTTTTTCTTTCTTTGCGCGCCGCACGCTCACCTGGCTCGCCGCCCCCGCCCCGTCTCCGGTGACGGGAGAGCCGGAGGCCTGGTGCGCCCAGGGGCTCGCTCGCTCGCTCGCTCGCCCCCCGCCCCGCCCCTTCCCCGGCCCGGCGTCCGTGTAGGCGATCTTTCCCGGTCATCGGCCTGGCTGGGCAGGCACCCACTTCAGCCGGGCCCGGCGCATGCCCGCGTCCCTATGCCCGTCCTGCCGCTTCTCGCCGGGCCCCAGGCTGAAGATCCCAGCCCCCGAGAGAAGCTCACACACAGACGCACACACCGCCCGCGGGCACTGCGAGGGAACGGCGGGGGCAGGGGGAGGCCTGAAGTCGGGCCGATCTGCGTCTAACTCCCCGCCACACGCGCACCGCGCCTCCCCCCATCTCTCCCCCTGTTGCCACGCACACCCATCCATATACACATCACGCACCGACACCTCCCTCCGCTCAGCTCCCCTCCCTCCGCCTCATACACGTCAACGCCGCCGCCGCCGCCGCCGCCACCGCCCCTGCCCTCGGCACCGACGCCTGCACGTGCAGACACACACACACACACACACGCATACTGCCCAGCACACGCACGCACGTGCCACCGCCACCGCTGCGCGCCCGGCTGTTCGCCGCCCCCTCCTCGGGTGCCCTGCCCCGGCCTCGCGCGCGCGCGTAGCGCCATGTCCCGGGAGAACAGCCCGCCGCCGATGATCAGCGGCTACCGCACACAGCCGGCCCCCTCGTCGCCCTACTCGCCGTATGGGACGCCGCTCGGGCCGCTTGGGCTGTCGCCGGTCCGGCCGGTGGTCGGGGCCCGGGGCCGCCCGGCCGTGGATCTGGTCACCAACCCGGATGACGGGGCCACCGCCTGCCTGCCCTTTTCCATCCACGCGGTGACCTCCTCGCTGCAGGAGGCCCAAATTGACAGCCCGCGCGGGAACACCGAGCACGACCCCCATGCGTCGGTGGCCCGGTCGCCCTTGCGCTTTCTCCACGACTACCATGACGACCATCCTCATCTCCTCCTCCACCACCACCACCACCACCCCCACCTCCACCACCATGGGCCATCTTCGTTGTTGGACTTCTCCGGCTCCTCGTCGGTGGACGGCGTGGCATGCGTCCCCGACGTGGGGGGCAGCAGCACGACGGCGCCGATGGCCGAGGGCGACTCCCCCCCGCGGGCGCCCGGTGTGCGGCTCTTCTCCGACCCGGGGGCCGATGCGTGGCGGCTGTTCCACGCGCGGCAGGGCCCCCGGCCGGCTTCGGCCTCGGGATCGGATGCCGACACCGACCCCGGCACCGGCACCGGCACCGACGCCGGGCCCGACCCCGACCCCGACCCCGACACTGGTACCGGTACCGGCACCGACACCGGCACGGACCCGGGCCCGGACCCGGACCAGCCCCCGGGGCTGGGGCTGGCTGGCGGCCGGAGCCCGATCCCCGAGGCCGATGGCGGCGTGACGCCGGAGCCGGAGGCCTTCGCGCCGGTGAGCCGGCCGCGCCCGGCAAGCGCCGGCACCGGCGAGTCGGTGCACGTCCCCAAGCCCGAGCAACTCCCGGCCGGGGAGGATGGGCCGCGGCTGGCCACGGGCCAGGCCCCCAAGCGCCCGGCCTCCGATGCCCTGGTGCCGGACGATTCGAACCCCCTACTGCGCCCCTTTTTCGGCGCCACCTCCACGGTGCGTGTCCCTGCCTCGCCCCTTGCCTCATGCCGTGCCGTGCCGTGCCGTGCCGTGCCGTGCCGCCGGGTTTGCTCTTTCTTTCCCCCTTTGTGTGTGTGTGTGTGTATGTGTGTGTGTGGGCGAGTCTGCTCGCGCGCATGTGTGCTGCCCTTCGCCGGGGATCGCCCCGGCGCGCAGCCGGCCGGCCACCGGCCAGGCGCCGCACACAACCGGCGGCAGGCACCGGCACCGACGCCCGGAGACCCTCTCACTCACTCGCTGTCCACCCTGCGGGCGCCTTCCCTTTGCCTCGGGGCCTTCTCTGGCCCGCCGGGCAACATGGCCCCGGCAGCCTGCGCGCTATTCCTTCTCCCCGACGTTGGCCTTTTCCCCGATCGCCGGGCCGGTGGCGGCGCCGGCGCCGGCGACCACGGCGGTCGAGCCCTTTTCCCTGTCCCACTCGCCGTCGGTGCCGGCACGGCCAGCCCCAGGGCCGTGTGCATGTGACGCGGAGGCCGGGGCCGGGCCGCCGTGCGGGTGGCCGGCCTGCCGCCGGGGGGCCCTCTACCCGGCGGCGGCCCGGGATGCCGTGCCCCGGTCGCACTCGGCCACGGCCTGGATGCCGCCGGCGTCCTTTGCGCCGCTGCCCTTGCCAAGTGCCCCGGCCGGGGGGGAGCCCGGGGCCCGGCTCACCCGGCGCGGGTCGACGGCCACCCTGTTTGCTTGTCGGCCATCGCCGATTCACATCCCGGCGCCGGGGAGCGCCGGGCGGGGGCCGCGTGTGGGGCCGGCGTCCGCCCTGCCGGGCGGTTGTGCCCCCTTGGCAAGCTTGAGTGCCCTGCACTCGCCGGAGCCCGGGCCCGGGGGGTCCTTCGGCCGGGGCCCCGGGCCCCGGGGCCCGGGCAGTTCCCTCGCCGAGGAGGCCGATGCCGAGGAGGACGAGCGGGACCCCTCGCTGAGCCCGCTGTCGCCGGGGGCCGACGGGTCGGCCGCCGGGTGGGACGGCCCGCAGGTGAGCCCATCGCGGTACAGCGCGCCGCCCCTGTCGCCGGGCACGGCGCGGCGACTGCTGGTCATGTCGTCGTTGCGGGCGGCCGAGCAGGCCCTCGAGAATTTGTCGCTGGGCCTGCGGGCGAGTGACCTTCGCCAGGCGCCGGCGGCCGGCGGGCAGCAGTCCTCCCTGCTGGATGTGTCGGCCATGTCGCCGATCGGCGAGCGGCCCCGGGCGCCGGTGGCCTCGACCCCGGGGCCCCCCGGCGCTCGGGTGCCCACATGTGCCCTCTTTTCGCCCCTGGGGCCGGGGTCGGGCGGTCTGGCCGAGCCGGCCGGCGAGCGTGCCGGGTCCCCGGGGCCGGCCGAGGGGGCGACCTCCGCCGGGGCCGCCGGGGCCGCCGGGACCATGGGGTCCACCGGGTCGCTGGCCTACCTGGAGGAGGACTCCATGTGCGGGCTCCAGCTGCCGGAGCTGATGCTCTTTTCCGGGGGCCGGACGCCGGTGTTGACGCGGGCGCGGTCCCTCTCGGCCCGGCCGGCCCTGCCGGAGGAGGGGCTGCTCATGTCGCCGAGTGGACCGGCCACGGCGGGCAGGGGGGCCCCGGCGCCGGGGGCCATGTGTCCGCCCCTGGCGGAGCCCGACGTGCCGGGGTCCGCCACCGACTCGATGGGCACCCCGCCGGCTTCGGACACCGACAGCCTGTCGATGCTCGGCGAGGATGAGGACAGCTTCACCCTGGTGGACCCGATGGACGACTCGGCCACGGAATGGGGGTCCTCCTCGCAGGAGGATGCCCATTCCGCCGGGCCGGGCTCCTCGTCGCTGGCGGCCAGCCCGACAGCCGACCAGGCGGCCGGCATGTGCCTCGACGGGGCCCCGGCCCCGAAGAAGGAGTCCCGCAAGGCCCGAGCCAATCGGGCCCTGCGGAGCATGCTGTCGGACTACCACTCGTCCGAGCCGGGGCCCGGGGCCGGGGGGGCTGGTGCCGGCGGCAGCAGCGGCGGCGGCGGCGGCGGCGGCGGCGGCGGCGGCGGCGGCGGCAGCGGCGCTGGTGGCTCGGCCGGCGATCCGAGCGCCCCGACCAAGCACTCCTTCTTCCAGCGCCTGCTGCATCCGGACCGGTCGAAGCGCACCCTGCCCGGGTTCCCGGGTCTCTTTTCGTCGTCGTCGTCGTCGTCGTCGTCGTCGTCGTCGTCGTCGTCATCATCCTCGTCGTCGGGGTCATCGTCGTCGGCGGCGGAGGCGGGGGCGGCCATGTCGTCGGCCCCGGCGCCGGAGGCGTCCTTCACCACGACCGGGGCCTCAGCCGACCCGAGTCCCTCCCTGCCGGCTGGGACCCCCGGGTCGGTCATCGAGCGCGAGCGCTTCCTGGCCTGGCTCCGGTCCTCTCCGAGCGAGGGCGTGTCCGGGTCCGGGTCCGGGTCCGGGCCTGGCACGAGCTCGCTGCCGGGCTCGAGCTCGCTGCCGGGCTCGAGCTCGCCCTCGCCCTCGATGGCAACGGTGGCGGCGCCGGCGCCCGTCCAGCATGCCAACCGGACGGGGTCCCCGGCTCCAGCCGGGGGGCTTCCCCTGCCGGCGGCCGCGGGGTTCGGCACGGGGGCCGCAGGCGCCGGCGGCCCGGGCCCCGGCGGCCTGCCCGGGTCCTGGCGCTCGGGTACCCTGCATCACCGGAGCAGCAGTAGCAGCGTCTCGTCGGGGGAGCTGCCGCGCTTGGGCCCGCTGGCCGGGGCCCGGCGGGCATCGATCCAGTATGACACCGGGGCGCCGCATGACTTTGCCCGCGCGGCCGGGGCCCTGTCCTCCTCCTCGTCGTGTAGCTCCTTCTCCCTGCTGGCCGAGGGGTCGCGCTCGCCGTCGCTCGGCTCCCTGGCCAGCATCGGCGAGGGGGCGTCCGGTGGCGGCGGTGGTGGCGGCGGCGGCGGCGGTGGCGGCGGCGGCGGCTCCCTGGGGGCGGGGTTCCGCCCGGGGATGGGCGCCGCCGGGCCGCCGGCGCGCCCGGGTGGCCATCACCGGCTGAGTGCGGAGGCCGGCTCGGCGGCCTGGGGCCGGCCGGCCTCCGCGGCGTCGGCCATTCCGCTGCACGTGTGGTCGCCGCTGGGGAGCGGCAGCGGCCTGCCGGCCAGCTCGGCGGGCTCGGTCGGGGACTTGGCCCGGGCCGGGTCCGCCTCGGACCTGGGGGCCATCCTCCCGTCGCCCGGGTCGCCGGTGGCGCGGCCCTCCTTCACCAAGTACCGGAAGTTGTCGTGCTCCACGGCCAGCCCCGGGGCGGCGGCGGCGGCGGCGGCGGCCGCTGCCGCGGTGGCAGGCCTGGCCATGGTCGATGACCTGCCCTTCGGCGGGGCCATGTCCGGGGGCAGTGGCACGGCCAGCCGCGCGGAATCGCCCCTCCCCCCGGGTCCCGGGTACTTGGGCATGCTCGGCGCGGGGCCCGAGTCCGGGTCCAGCCTCGGTGCCAGTGGCCCGGAGGTCCTTGCCTCGCAGGACGCCGACTACTTCGGCGGCGACGTGACCATGCTGGCCACCGACCCCGGCGATGAGTCCCAAGTGGCCGGATCGGCGGCGGCGGCGGCGGCGGCGGCGGCGGCCGGTGGTGGCCCTCTGCCGGCACATGCCGCCTGGTCGGCGGCCCCGACCGGGGGGTCGGCCCAGGACCACTGGTCCGGGCACGGGCGGCGGCCGTCCTCCATGTCGATGGAGTCCCAGCATTGGCGGTCGGCCTCGGCGTCGATGGGCAGCCGGCCGGTGCCGATGGCCCTGCCAGCCGCCGGGCCCTTCGGCCTGGGGCAGGCTCCGGCCGGGCCGGCGCGCGGGCTGCACTCCTTCCATGCGCTGCCCGGGCCGGGCCCGGTGGCGCGATCGGCGTGCGAGGCGCTGCCGCCGATGGCCTCGGCCCCGGCCCTCGGCGGGCCGGATGGTGCCCATGCCGGCCGAGGGCCCGGCGGCGGCAGCCATCCCGCGCATGCGACCACGCGGGCCGCATCGCTGGCCGGCGTCGGCGGCGTCGGCCTCGGCGGCCTGGGGCCGGGGCCCGGCAGCCGGTCGGTGGCCGCGGCCAGTACGGCCACACTCGACGCCGGGGCCGGCGGCGCCCTCCCGGCGGCGACCGCGGCCCCCACAACCAATGCCTTCACGACTTCCGGGCGGCCGTACAATCGGATCTTGCCGCTGGAGGACCAGTCGCACATGCGCATCAGCGCGGAAACCGTGGCGCGGGTCCTGTGCGGGGAGTTCTCCGGGCTCTTTGACCGGCTGCTGATCATCGACAGCCGGTATCCCTTCGAGTTCCAGGGGGGCCACATCCGGGGCGCGGTGAACATCCACCTGCAGGTGGACATGTGGCACATGCTGATGGCCGAGCTGCCGAACCCGGGGGAGGCGGTGCGCCTGGGCCCGGCGGCCCCGGCCGCCCGGACACTCATCATCTTCCACTGCGAGTTTTCGAAGAAGCGCGGGCCGGACATGTTCGCGCGCCTGCGCGGCTGGGACCGCAAGGTCATGTCGGCCACCTACTACCCGAACCTCAACTACCCGGAGGTGTATGTCATGTCCGGCGGGTATAAGGCCTTCTTCCGGCAGTACCCCGGGCTGTGCGAGCCGTCGGCCTACACGACCATGTACTGCCCGCGGCACCACAGCCTCATGCTGCACACGCACAATGAGGCCCGGCGCATGAACTCCGATGCGTGGCTGAGCGCGCACCTGCCCACCGGGGGGTCTCCTCCCTCCTCGTCGTCGTCCTCCTCCTCGTGCTTGTCTTCCTCCTCCTCCGCCGGCTCCTCGGCCGAGGCGGCGGCGGCGGCGGCGGCGGCGGCGGCGGCGGGGACCCTGCCTGGGCCCGAGGCCGCTGCCCTGCCGGCTGGGCCTTCGTCGCTCATGCTTTGTGTGACGACCAAGTCCTTCTGCGAGGCGGTGGTGTCGGCCTTCCCGGAGACGGCTGCGGCGGCGGCGGCTGCGGCGGCGGCGGCGGCGGCCACGACAGCGCCGGCGCCGGCGCCGGCAGCCACCCCAACAGGCCTGGTGGCCGGCGGCAGCCCGCGGCCGGGGTCTGCGTGCTCGACCACGCCGGGCGGCGTGCGGCCGCGGCCCCTGCTCCCGGAGCACGATGACACATCGGCCCCGGTGGCCCTGTCCATGACCATGGCCGGGCCCAACCGCAAGCACCCCCGCAGCATGGAGCTCTACATTCAGACGGCGGATGTGTGCGGCCTGGGGCCGGGGCCGGGGGCCGGGGCCGGGGCCGGGGCCGGGGCCGGGGCCACTCCCGGCGCCCCGGGCGTGGGTCTGCTCCTGAGCCCGGTGTCCATGTACCCGGCGTCGCCGGGCGGCGGGTCGGCCCTGATGCGGGCGCCGCACGCCTTCCACCCGGGCGGGTCCTCGAGCGAGGCGGCCGGGCTCGGGCTCTTCCACCACCCGCACTACCATCACCAGCAGCCGCAGCAGCCGCAGCAGCCGCACGGGGCTGGCGGGACCGGTGGCCCTGTGTCGCTGAGCTCCTCGTCCTCGTCCTCCTCCTCCTCCTCCTCGTCCTCCTCGTGCTACTCCCTGTCGGCCGGGGGCGGCGGGGGGCGCTTCTTCAGTAGCATGCCGCCGAGCCCCCTGCCGGGGTATGACCCGGCGGCCGGGGGGGATGTCGGGCCGGGGCCGCCGGGCTCGGAGCCGAGCCCCGGGGCCGGGGGCTTCGTCGGGCGGAATCGCCCGCACCCGGTGCCGCCCATCACCAAGTCCCACTCGCTGATGAGTCTCTTCCTGTCGGCGCAGGAGCCGCCGGGCCGGGCGTCGCCCTCGCCGCCGCCGGTGGCCGCCGGGCCGCGGCCCGCCGGGGACGCCCCCTCGCGTGCGCGGCTCCCCACGCGGTCGATCCGGTCGCGGGAGCGTCTGTCGCTGGGCGACCGCCGGCCCGGTAGTCCCAGCTGGTGGGGCCATGTCCCGGGGGCCGAGGACCCGGGGGCCGGGAGCTACGCCGGGCCGGCGTATCCGGGGGCGGCGGCGGCGGCCGCTGCGGCGGCTGCCCTGGCCGCCGCCGCCTCGGCCGAGAGCCTGTCCTCCGCCGGGGGGGCATGCCTGGCCGGGTCGCCGGGCCGCATGGCCCCCGGGGCCGGCCTGGTGGTCCCCCCCGGGCAGCAGTACTTCCCGTGCATGGATGCGTCGGGGTCCGACGAGTCGGACGGCGAGTGTGCCGCCGGGGGGTCCCTGCTGGAGACCGTTTGACGGGAGGCGGCGGGGCAGGTGTGGTTGCGTGCTTTTGGCCGTTCTCCCCTCCTCTTTTGCCCCCTCGTTGCCGGGGTTTCCCCTTTTTTTTCCTTCGTGCCCCGCCTGCCAGCGGTCTGGACCTGTCCTTGTGTGTCAACTCCTTCTCTCTGCCCCTTGTCTGGTGGGCCTCTGTCTTCCGGGGGACGGGCGGGGCGGGCGACAGGGCGGCCTATGCATGCCGGGCTGCGTGAGCTTGGCAAGCTTGCTTGCGCCCTTGTCACGCATTTCCCTCCTTCCCCCGGGCGCCGGGTCCGGGCTGGGGCCAATACAGTTGCGAGTTTGTGCATCCTGGACGGAAGCTACACACACACACAGGGAAAGATGTGTGCGCGCGGGCAGGTGGGGGGGGGGGGGGGGGGG